TGGTGGGTGTAACAGCTGCCACTCATTTGGGATAAATGTTAGAAACAATTATGTTTCTTTGTGGAACCAGAGAGCTGAAACATCAGAGGCCTCTGCCCAAAACAAAGGCAAGGCTGCAGCAGAAGCTGAATCATGTGGCCCAAGCAGGTTCCACAGTGGTCTGATAAACTCAAAGGTGGATGGGGGGAGAGGGTTTGGAATGATGTGTCTCTGTTTGAGAGTCAGGAAAAACAGAGAAGCAGCAAAAAGTCAAACACAGCCAGAACAAGCATTGGGAACGTGGCTCTGAGAAAAAGCCCAGAGAGAGAGATTTTGGGCTACTTCTGTTTGGAGGTGGGGTAGACGCACAATAGCAGGGTCCACATGGACACTTAGGGTGCAGCAGACTAGTGAGGGGTAGATTTACACCCTGTTTACTTGGTGAGTGGTCGAAACACCAGGCTATAGTCATTCTCATGCTTGTGCGTGCTCCTGCTCGCTTGTCTCTCCCTGTTATTTAGGCTGGAGAGCACAAGCCTGAGTGACTCTGGTTAGACCACTCATCCACAATGTGGAAAACCCAGGATCTAGTCCCCCTGATCCAGTGGGTCTTTCAGTATTTATCCACAGTGCAACAGCTTTAACAGGAGAAAGGGAGAGACTCCCTACATCAGAATATCCCACAGACCACTGGTTAGAGCACTCATTCTGAGTGGCAGATCCGTGTTTAAATTGCTTCTCCCCCATAAGTGGAGTGGGGACTGGAGCAGGGGGCCTACCACCTCCCAGGAGAGTACCCTAACCCCTGGATTATATGTTATGAGGGTGGTCCTCCCTACCCACCCCAGTATGATGCTGGCAGACCAGCCGAGATCCCCGTGCCTCAATTGAATACTGACACATACGTAGCTGGAATCAGTTTGGCTCACCTGTGTGTTAGTATTGTTAAAATAGGTATTAGAATTAAAAGAATGTGTTTAGTGCTTAGACTTTAAGGAATGCTTGTAAGCTGCTGCATGCATTAATCTCACTTAACATCTGTATCCCATATTATAAGAAGATAATTGAGCATTTGTATTGTAAGCCTCTGTAACTGTGTAAATCACCAGACAGGAGAGAGACATTACTAGTGTGAAATGCTGGTGTCCTGCCCAGCAGGGAAGGTGTCGTGTCCTGCCCAGCGGGGAAGACCCATCAACACCAGACGAAGGATTGTGGAACATTAGACAATGAAACAATTTGTTGATTTCTCTCCCATAAAGATGAGTCATGCAAGTGAATTCCTCCCATCCGCTGAGTTTGCAGCTCAGAGCTCAAGTGGGGAAGGGAATAAAAACTCCTAACAAGAAGTTAGTTTAATTGTATCTCTATGCTGGACTCTGAGGGGTAAGGTTTTCTAGGCATAAGCAAGAGAACCCCAGTGCTTAGCCTGGATTAGCCCTAAAGGACATATGGAGTTTGCTTCTATTATCTTTTGAAATTTAAGACTGTAACTCATTTTGTGTGCATGTCATCTGGTTTAGCCTTGTAAAGATCTCTCATTTCCTTTTCCTGTACAATAAATCTTTAGATTGTTTATTATAGGACTGGCTACAAGCATTGTCTTTGGTGTGAGATCTAAGGTGCAATTGACTGGGGGTAAGTGACTGGTCCTTTGAGACTGGGAGCAACCTTAACATTGCTGTGATCCTTGGTGTAAAGGACCATCTATCAAAGGTAGACTTACCTGGGCAGCAAGACAGATCGGAGTACCCAAGGGGAATGTATGTGGCTCCATGTTAAAACTGTTATAGTACATGAGGAGTTTACACTTGGTAATTGGTTGGTGAAATCTAATTATAGAACTCACAACCAATGTGGGGTTTGTGCCCTGCTTCTTGACAGTCTCCCCTGAGGTTGGGTACTTATGCTCTTGAGCCACTGCAGGACAGATTGACATCCGTCTTCTTGCTAAAATGGCATAGGTGCCCTAACTCAAAAGAGGTTTTCCTGACTTACAAAGATACGTGCTTCCCTGTAGCCTAGTCTTAGGTGCTTATCTCTGTGAGAAGTGGGGCTTAGAACACACACCTCTGGTCAGCATTTCCCATTTGCTAGCTTATGCTGTTCCCTGCAGAGCCTGCTGGCCTTTGTGAATGGCATTCTAAGGTGCCTATCTCTCCCCATTCATGTACAGGAGCCTAGGTGCATAATTCAGACTTTGAATTGCAGTGATTTATTCAGGTGCCCAAAAGTTTGGCATTGTGATGCACAACACCTAAATCCTTTTAAGCAGTGTTTCTCAAACTGGGGTCGCCGCTTGTGTAGGGAAAGCCCCTGGCGGGCTGGGCCGGTTTGTTTACCTGCCCCGTCCGCAGGTCCGGCCACGGTTCGCTGCTCCAGGCCAATGGGAGCTGCTGGAAGCAGCGCGGGCCGAGGGACTAACTGGCTGCCGCTTCCAGCAGCTCCCATTGGCCAGCAGCGGCGAACCGCGGCCAGTGGGAGCCGCGATCGGCCGGACCTGCGGACGGAGCAGGTAAATAAACCAGCCTGGCCCGCCAGGGGCTTTCCCTACACAAGTGGCGACCCCAGTTTGAGAAACACTGCTTTTGAGCATTCAGCCCTTGGTTCATCCTTGAAGGTGCTTTCTAATGTCCTGATTAGTATTAAAAGTTACAAGGAATGCATGTTGAAAAGCCATTTGCAAATTTTAAAAATATTAATGAAGCAATGTGTTCTATGTCATTTAATTCAAATAATTTTTCTCCTCTGCATATTTTACCTTAATTTGAGTCGTGATAGTACCACTCGATACAAATAACTTGCAGGAAAGTGCTTTCTTCGCCCAACAGGTAATATAATAGGATGAATTGCTCCTACAACATATCCTTTGATGTAATATTCTTCCACTTTTGTTGCTATATCCAACACAGAACTGATCTTGATAACTTCTGGATTTGAGGACACTAAATTGAATTGAATGAACAGAAAACATGGACATTATGCACAAGTGTTACTCAGTATGCATGTGTTCATACATACAAATAAGCTACTTACCTATATTTTAATGTAGCACAAAAGATATAATAAATCTATATTCCCCACTGTACAGATATACAAAATATAGCAGATGCATAGTTGACCAGGAATTATACAGGGATAGTAAAAACAATGATAAAGTTATACATCTTACAAAATAGAAAGATCAGAGTAACTTTTAATCAGTTTGGCAACAATTTAATGATCTGTCTGGCTTTATTAATAGAGCGTAAGAGCTGTGTCTGCATCTATACCTCCAATAACCCTTCCTGCCTGATGAAAAGGAAGACGACAAAAAGGGAACAGAATAAAAACTCTCTTTCTAAATTGGGATTCAGGCCTTGTCTACATGAAAGAGTTGCACTGGTTTAACTTAAATCAATTGTTAACCCAATTTGGTTAAAATAGTGCAAACCTGTGTGAACACTTTTATTTTGGTTTAAGAGTAACGTATTCCTAATCAATTTAAGCTAAACAGAAATAAGTGTGGTTTAGAGCAAAATAAATGTTCATGTGGAGGCTTGTTCCAGTTTAATAAAACCAGTTTAAAAATCACACTTTCAGGCTATGTCTTCACTACCCGCCGATCCGGCGGGTAGCAATCGGTCTATCGGGGATCGACTTACCGCGTCTCGTGAGGACGCGGTAAAATCGATCCCTGATCGCTCTGCCGTCGACTCCGGAAATCCACCTCGGCAAGAGGCGGCAGCGCGGCAGCGGTCGACTTTCCCCCGTCCTCACCGCCAGGTAAGCCGACCTAAAATACGCAACTTCAGCTACGGTATTCACGTAGCTGAAGTTGCGTATCTTAGGTCGGAACCCCGCTGTAGTGTAGACCTAGCCTTAGTTAAACAGAACACTTTTCTTGTGTAGACAAGGCCTCAGACACTAATATTATCCTTATCCCATCCCAAAGTAAATCAAACAGTGTGCAGCGAGGGGCCATACAATGCCATCAGTTTTTAGCAGAATTCCTCCTGGTCACACTGGGGAGTTGTGCTCAAACTGTGATGGCTCAATATAGTCACATTTTCCAGTTGAATTAGCAGAAACACAAACGAGTACTTTTGGAGGCACATTTTATTTTGTGCTGGAGATGACCCACAGCTTTTGCACAGATAGAAAGAATTGTTTCATGTTCACTAGTTCAAATATTCTTGCATAATAGGTTGATGGTCTAATTTTCAGAGGTGCTTAGCACTTTCTACTCTCAGTTGGAGATGTGGGTGCTCAGCCTCTCTGAAAATCAAGCAATGTTTACAGAAGGCAGAACCACTCTTCTCACTTACAACCCCAGATACAGTTGTCAGTATCAAGTTTTCTATCCCACTGCACAACTGTGGACTCCAGAGAGGAGATTGTTTTGACTGGAATTTGACACTCTCCAGCAGTAACACCTGCTGCAAGTCCTTTAGTTCATTTTAGAGTTCTCACAGTTCCTAGTTTTTTCACTATACGTTTGGTGGATGAAGAGAAGGAAGGGACAATGTTGTTCAATCATATCAATGTGTGACTCAGATTGGAATTAAACACCGAAACCATGATGGTAGTTTTTAGATTTAAAAAGCCCTTTAAGTGCTGTTTTAAGATTTTTATCTTTGTCTGTCTCTCCCTCTCAAAAGAAAATAACTTAAATTGAAATGAGTTCACTCTCCTTTGATTTTACATCAGCCTCTTTGATATAAAGGGGAAAAAGTACATAAATGCACAATGATAAAGACACCACTTTGAAAATGGAATCCTTATGGTTCAATTCAGGTTCCCTATCTCCCTCTTCTTAATCACCTCCCCAGAAAAGAGATGTGCTGTAGCACAATATACTCATGGCAGCATGTCTTCTCCCCACATGTAAAGGGTCAGTCTAATGTACAAATCAGAGAGTGTGCACCTATTTTCCATATCTCATGTAAACACACATGTAGAATATGCAACTGACCGTGACACTTTCATTTAATCAGCCTTTTGGGATCTGGTGGTTAAGATTAAATTTGTGATGTCTAATCTTGGCTCTGCCACTGATCTGCAGTGTGGTCTGCAAAGTCTCAATCTATCTGTGCCTGGTTCTCCTGTGTGAACTGGGGATGATACTGACATGTATATCACAGGGTTTTTTAAGGACTAATTAGATAATGTTTGTACAGTACTTTGAAAAATTAAAGCACTGTGTAAATACTAAGTATTATTAAATCTTATCTGGGGGGAAAGCCTGATGCCTGTTGTGCCCTCTGCCACAGGAATCTTGCTGGCACAGGGCAGATTTCTGACAACAGCTGGACAACACACTGTGGGGAACATTCTTTTGCTCCTCTGGGCAGGAACAACATGCACCCCCCACATATGCACCGATGGCAGAATGGGCACTAGCAGACACAAATCTAGATACTCCCACTAATACAAACTATGCTCCCTTGGGGACATGATGCAAGGGCTGTTGTGTTATCTGGCTGTACCTTACAATTCACTATTGTACAGTGCAAATGCAACATTTCTTGTTAGTTGTGTAGAGGTGGGGTGTAGGAAAAGAGGCTCATTTCAAATATCTTCTCCCCCCACCCTTTGCATGCTAGATGACAGGATTTAGCCCTAAGTGAACAGAGCTATAAGATTCCTAACCATAGTTCCTTTAAGCACACTCTGCATAGTGAAGCCAATGGACATGTTCAGGTTTACTGAAAACACATATGGGATAGCTTAGACTGCATGCCACAGCCAAAAAAGCAGGTATGTGTAAGACATGGCCCACTTACCTCATGTTGCAAACTGTTGCAACTATTCTAAATTTTAAACAGAATTTCTATCTTGTTGTGTTCTCTCACAACAGCCAGTCAAAACTGTTACAATAATATAACCCAGACATTTGAAATGTAAAAGGTGAAGGCAAATCAATTTTTTATATACATTTGTGTTTATTCAAAGTGATAGGGCGCTTTTTATTGTTTGAAATTTCAGAAGGCTGATACGAAGAACATAGACACAGGTTTCCCCTTTCTACTAAAAGAAGAGATATGAAGGCAGCATAAGCACTATATGAGTGTGGGGAAAATTCTAGTGATCCCCATGTACATGTTTTAGTTGACCTTCCAAAATACTTTGGTCAAGCTGTTTATGTGAGACACACCTCATAGCTGTGGAGATAAAATTGGCACTAAGAAATGGACACTTAAAACCACAGTTGGGTAGATTCTCTACTCTATCCCACCCCCTTTATTCCACTCAAGTGGTGCAAAGTGAAGACTGATTGTATCTTCCTACCTAGGGATTCTCCTGGTGTGGGGGAGCCTCCAGTGGGCATGGAGCCAGTCTTAAGCCACCATCCCTGCAGCTAGGAAGGAGCATGTTAGGGACAAGAACGAGAAGCCAGATCACAATGTGCTCTAGCTCTGCTTAGTTGGTTGATAGTTCCTAGGCTGCTCTAACTGGTGTAAGGGCTTGATAGAAAATCAGTGTGTTTTAATAGTCTCCTTGATAAGCCCTTCATTCTGTTTCCTTGACCATAAACTTGTTGAGTTTAGACGCTGTGCTTGTTATACTTTCATCCCAGTATACAATAATATATGTAAAGTGGGGATAGAAAGGCTGTAAAAATAAGATTTTTAAATTTTTTTTACTTGGGCCCAGATCATGTACTTAGGTGTAAAAATTCACACAATGAGCAGTACATGCTGGGCACGATCTTCTTTTTCCTCAACCAGTAGAAACTGAAAGCGCTATGAAGACAGCACTCAGTTCTCTGACAGCGTGAGATTCATGTTGCTCAGAAGTGATACAAGCTGGTTGATCATAAACTATATTAACTGAGCTCTTAATAGAGCTCCCTTTATCCCAAAGATACTGGTGCAACAAGATGCAGGATGGAGCTGATAGTTTATACGAAGGAGAAAAGGTACAGGTTCAAAACACGCCCTACAGTAAATTGGCCTCTCCCTGTATTCCATGACCAAAACCAAAGTTCACTATAGTTTAGAATTTTCCTAGTAAAAGAGGGCGAGAGCAAGTGTGTACTGAGATATTGTGTGTGTGCATGTAAACCTAGCTCTGAAAGGCAGAGGTACATGAGAATATAAAATATATGCACACAGCTGACATTGTTTTTCACAGATGGGCCTATATTTTCAAACGTAGGTGCCTAAAGCTAGGCTCCTAAATCTATATTTAGGCAACTAACTAAAAGTGACCTGAATTTCAATGTTGTTGAGCACCCATAATTCCCAATGAAGTGAATGCAAGCTAGAGGTACTAGGCAGCACTGAATATCAAATAACTTTTAGTCAAGTGCCTAATATGGATTCATGAGTCTAACAATATGCACCATGGTTTGAAAATATGGCCATAATTTTTTTTGCAATGTGACACCGGTTATTACATATGATGATGCTAAAAGAGTCACCTTTCCGTCCCACCCATACTAAGTACATATTGAGTTTAACATTGAAAACAATTAACTTCTTTAAAACACATCCCTTCCACACTGTTTTCATAAACTTTTGTGCTTAAAAATATGATTTAGAACACAGTGAACTATTTAGGAACTCCAAACAAACTTCAGAGTCAAGAAAAGAAGTTTTATTATCCTACACATTCATAGCAATACAGCAGCAGGTATTTAATTTATGTATTACACAACCCAGCTCTAGTCCTGGAGTATATTGTTACTACTACTTCGCAATACAAAGAAGTTTTGTTTCCGGAACCAAACACGTGAATGAACAACTCCTCTTTCTAATTAAAAGCTAAAAATACGGTTGGTTGTCAAGTACTATAATTTAGTACAATATTATGTTTTCTATTCATCAAGTCATGCCACTTACTTAATCATCAACACTTCAATATGTATAAACATGAACATTAATGTAATCTGGCAATTCAAATACCTAGTTCAATAGAGGTCAGACTTTTATATTTATTAAAATATTCCTGTACCAAGTCACATAACAGATAACATCACAATTTTCCCCCCTTTTGACTCTTTCCACTTATCAGTGTATTTACTTTAAATCCCTGCCAACAAGAACATCTAGTAAAACGGTTAGTTATAAAATGTGAGGTCCCACAAAGTAACTGCAGCACAGAGCTGTCTGTTGTCAGAGGGCAGCCATCTGGGCTTGTTTATTTGTGTTTCAACTTTCTGGAACAGGGAATTACTCTGTTAGAGACGGGACACCCTGCAAATGGAAGTACCCCACAGAGTACTGTCTGCCTCTAAATGTACATAGAGATTTTAATTTTATTTCAGGCACAGTTTTAAAAGACCCGTAAGCAGTTGCAAAGTAAGATGTAGAAAGAAGGATTTAAAAATAGGCTCATTAATAACTAGTCTATAAGACTCTTACTAAAATATCTGCCATAAGGCTGAAAAAATGTTTCCTTATAGCATCTTAGAAGCTATTTCCACATAAAGTAACGAGCTATGAGTATAGGTTTTTGGAAGCTGAATACATTTTAAAAAAGAGTTATTCATTTAGGGCGATTCCACCACTTCACGCTGAGTGTACTTACTTTTGTGAGTAGCCACGCTAAACTCATGTGAGTGTGTGTTACTCAAAGTCAAAAAGGATGGCAGAATCTGGCTCACAGGAATCTAGGAAAATCTTTCAAGCAATTTTTGTCCAGTTTCCTTAATAAGGACAACTGTGTAACTTTTTTTTTGTTTAATATGTAAGAAGTTTCAACTTTAATTTTATCTGAGGACCTTATATTTCCAAGTAAAAGGCTGGTATATTGATTACCTTTGATAAGGTAAATGAACTTCACTTTCTCTTATTTTAGTCAGAAGAAATAAAAATAGTAAAATGTAATTCCTCCTTTTGCAAGAACTTATAAGATATAAAATAGAAGAAAAATACCTTCTAAAGTAAAATCCAGCAATACATATTCATAAGCAGAGTCAGTCTTTGTTTCCACTTGCGGTCTCTTCAACGTAGAAAATATTTTTCCAGGGCTGCTATCATCTGGGTCTTCTAGCTTTCGTAGTCCGCACCCCATGGCAAGATCTGCAAAGAAAAAATTGCAGGAAAGGGGGTGGGGAAAGCAGCAAGTTCTGTTACTCTGAAAAAAAGAAGTAACAAACTTCACTGCCTTGGATTTTGTTTACTAGTAGCCATAAATCCAAAGACAGAAAAATTTCAGTTCCCAAGTTAGAAAGTGAAGACATTTTCTATTAATTTTTTCATATAAGCATTGCACCCACAATGACTTCAAGCTACTAACTCAGCAAGAGTGGGCTTGATTTTACAGAAACGTACAAGCTGCTACAACTTAGCAGAGATTTTCCATGCCACGTCAATTTACAGCCAGCCCCCCCATCAGCGTTCTGTTGCAGAGGACACCAATAGTGCTTTGTCTATCCCTCTTGGCTGACTGATAATGAGGCAAAAAAGAACTGAAATAATAAAGTTAGAGGGAAACATATATAATTACCTACTGTCAGAAGATCTATTCAGATGCAGTTGTAAATGAGAGGAAAAGGAGCAAGTCAGAATGAAAGAATGAGAAAAGAGAGTCTCAACATGGTTAGAGACGAAAATCATTTCCAGAAAGGAAGTCAGCTTCAAGAGGAAATTGCTTCTGGCATCTCAAAGGGGAGGAAAGTAAATGAAAAGCAGTTTAGACTCTATTTTAGATTTGAAAGTTTGGTTCCTATTTTCTTTCCACAGAAATTTTCTTTCAGATGGAAAAGCATACATGATCATGCTGTAATAAAGAATTTTCTTGGCAAGAAGAGTATATATGATTACAGTAAAATTTATTTTAAAAAATCCAGGTTAATAAGATAATTCAACTTTTGTTATATTTTATTTTAAAAAGTCATACTAAAATGCACCTTATGTTAAACCAAAGAGACTGTTGTTTCAAGTTATTCAGTATGAACAAAGTTCTGTGGCCATTTCCCTTCCATTCTCCAAGTACATTAAGTAGTTTAAGACTTTTCTTTCATCAGACTTGCTACAGTGATTAGTACAGCAATGGATTTTCATCTTAGTAAAGAGATGGTTTTAAATCACATCACACAGCTCTATGAACTTGTAACATAAAAGAGCTTTTTACAGTGGAGAAAATGGGATATGGTGTAGCAACAACATAGACAACAGTGACACAGTAGACCCAATTTTGTCTTCAGGTGCAGGAACAGAACTCACATTGAAGTCACTGGTTCCAATTCTGCCCTAACATACAACCCAGTGCATGCAGTTGTACCAGGATGTACATCAGAGCAAGGTAATAGTGATTTCAGTGGGAGATGCGCCCATGAAACACAGAGGACAGAATTTGGCTTAATGTGTGGTATTTTATTACATCAGGATAGCAGTTTGAAAAGGAGGGGTCTTTTGGAAAGGTCTTGTGTACTGTATTGTTTTAGCTGAGCCGGTTATGGTGAGACACAGAGAGAAGGGAGTTTGATTTTGCTGTCAATTTGCATACAGTGTCCTAACTAGAACTGGACAATTCATTGATTTTTTTTTTGGCAATTCAAAAAAAAATAGGAGGAAAAAATTGGTTCAGGTCAGGTTGAACCAAACCCAACATTTTTTGGAATTTTCAGTGAATCGAAAAAGTCAGAAAAATTTTGTTTTGGATTGTCAGAGAGAGAAAAGAGCGTGAGAATGACCTGCTAGTCTAGTAGTTAGGACATTCACTGGGGAAGGGATGGAGGGAGATGCCTGGGTTCTAGTCCCTCCTGCACTGAACACTGAAGTATGTAGATCCACCCCAAAATATCCTTTAACCTGGGGATTAGGGCATTCACCTGGCAGGGGGGAGACCTGGATTCAAGTCTCTGCTCCAGAATGGGGATTCAAACCTAGATCATCTCCCCCGTCCCACATGAGTGCCCTAACCACTGGGGTAAAGGTTATGAGGGGGCAGCTCCTCCTCCTCCTGTGGTTTCGGTGTGTGAATATAGCCCCAAAATCAGAATAAGATGTTTATTTAACATCAATTAACCGTTTTGACATTTCTAAAATCTTATATATTTTTTTGTTTTGACCAGAACAATTCACTGAAATCAACATGAATTTGTGAAATGTTTTGGTTGACTTAAATCTGTATTTTTGATCAAAGAAAGGTTTTGCCAAAAAAATTCACCCAGTTTTAGTCCTAACCTCTCTTTGGCTGACTACCAAAATCTAATGCATTAAATTCATAGTTTCATGTTCTCTGATTTTACTCCTGTTCCATTGTAGTGTATATAATGTTAATACATAGTTTGTGCTTTCATTTAAGAAATTTACCAGTAATTAGTCCAAAAAAAGCCATATTCTGTGCATCCAATGTGCTTCATGGCTCTTTTGGGTCAATTAAGCCAAGGGTGGAACCAAAGATTTCTGAGATTCAGAACATACCTCAAGTACTGTATCAGAGGACCTAGAAACTGTTTTGGATCAGACTTCTTGCTCTGACTTGCGAGACTACTCCTTTCAGAAGAGACTCAACTGGTTGGAGCTAAGTGAGTCCATAAGGGGTCTTTGAGGAGGAGGACAACCTCAAACAGTCTATCTACTTACTCCAAGCTGAGGGGCAAAAGCAACACTGGCCGTGCATCGTTGAGGATGTCTTCACACAGACATTTTAAATCACTGGTGGGCTGATGTGCAATAGACAACTTATTGCAGACTGCACATATTTTAAAGATGGACCTATTTTCCTGATATTCCATTTTGAGATTAGGGAGTGATGGGCACCACATAATGAACTAGAGCAACTTTAAAGCTGTACTAATTTTCTAAAAACTAAACAAACTAATCTTACTAGTTACTAAGGTTTCAGACAGATCCAACACAAATGCAACTGACAGGGAAAAAATGGATACTTTCTAGACCCACAGGCAGAAAAACAAGGAATGAGAGAATATTTGGACCAAGCATCTCTCATAATTATGGTCTGAATGCTCAGGTCTTTAGACGATGCAGGCACATGAATGCAAAGGTTAAGAGATCAGCATTATAATAAGAACTATATCAATCACTGTTGACATAAGACATTTAATAAAGTATAGGCATGTACAAAATATGCCTTTAGGATTCCTATTACTAAGGGTTAAATTAAAGTTGGCTTACTTTCAAAAATCTAGAAAAAAATGAACAAAAAAAGATGAGAGAGGCTCTCAGAAATTTTGGGCTCAAATTTGAGAGGAACTGAACAGTTAGACTGTAAAGCACACTGTATGAAAGAGTTACATGAGTTGAACCATACCAGACTACAAAACTATTTCACCTTAAATTACATTTCCCTGCTAAATTCCCTTCTAGTGTCCAGAAAGACTACTGTCTCATGATCTAGGGATGATGCTGTCTGCCCAAATCAGGAGTCCTAGAATAATGAATGAAGGTAGAAAATGTCAGCATCCACTCTGAAGTGGATGGGTACTTCAGTATTCAAATAATTTATATACAGAATTGCTTAGTATTGGCTCAGTCCCCCCAGCAACTACTATTATTTTAACCTTATACTAAATCTTAAAACCTAATACTAAAAAAAAATCTTTGCTTTTACATGAACAGCAAAATAGTTCTCACACTTGTAAATGGTTTTTTTTGAAGAACTAATGTCAGTATTTTTTTTAGTTAAACAAAATGTATGTTTAAAAAGCTATACTGACATTAGTTAGTTGTTTCTTTGTAGCAACATTTAAATGTATAAGAACTGTTTCACGGTTCATGAAAAAGTAAGAAATTTATTTAGTATAGGGTTTAAAGAGAATATTTCATAATTAAAGAATGGATATTTACCCTGCAATAACTGTGGTTCTTTGAGATGATGTAGTCAGTTTGAATCACACTGGAGGTGTGCATGCACCTCATGTGCATGAACTCAGAATCTTTTGAATAGCAGTGTTAGTTGGGGCCATGCATGCACCCTGAGTCGCCTCATGACCCAGTGAGAGGGCATACAGGACGGAACGGCTGCAACACTCTTTCAGTTCCCTTGCAATTCTAAGTCCATGACTCAAACAAGTAAGGATGGAGGGTAGGTCGTGGGATCCACACTGACCACAACATCTTAAAGAACCCCAGTTACTGTAGGGTAAATAACCGTTCTGTCTTCTCTGAGTATGTGTCAGTGTGGATCCTACTGAAGGTGACTGTCAATAAGTATCCTCTCAGAATGATGGGAATGAGTAGTATCCGCTACATCAGTTAAATAGAGATTGGCATACTATTCTCCCAAACTTGGTATCTTATCTAGTAGTTAAGATCAGTGCATAATGCTTGACAAATGTGAGTGGGTTGCTTCATGTGCCTTGCAGATTTCAGATATCGGCACATTTCAGAAGTACGGTAAGTATGTCGATTGGGCTCTGGTGGAGAGAGCCTTACTAATTGGTGGGAGAAGTACACCAACCAGCTGGTAACATAATGAAATGCAGCATCCATTTTGACAGTTTTTGCAATGAAATAGCCTGACCTTTGAAGCGGCCAGCTATAGTCACGAATAGATGGAGCAGTCTAAAGGACAGAGAAAATTATGGTGGGGAAGGTAGTGGGCAAAGGTAGGGGGCCAAAAAAGGAATTGGATGGGGCAGCCATGGGTGACAAAGTACAGCAGATATTTGTTGGCTGTAATCTCTGACCATGCCCAATGGAAGTAGGGACAAGGCAATTTCTGGCATGGTGTTGACATGACTCTCAATATCCCTGTCAAATCTGCTGCCTCTGGGAGGGAGCCTGATGCACAATAGAGTAGGAGGATGATTGGCACCTCCTGGTTTTAACAGGGTTGCTTTTTAGGCAAGTATTCCCGTTGGTGACTGTGGAAATAAGATTATTTTATGCTTTGTGGGGACTGGTACAGGAACGTCTTGTGGTACGGCACTGGAGTGTAAATTCCCAAGAATCTCAGCATTGCCCTTGAATACATGAAGGAAAGGAATGCCTTTTCTATCTGGTTGCTGAACAGGTCCATGCCCTTGAAGGGCAAGTATTCTATCATTACCTGGACTTCTTTTGGAATTCAAGATACCTGTAACCAGGAGGCCCAGCACTTTGTGACTGCCATGGCCATGGATCAAGCAGCCATTTTGGGCTCCTCCATTGCTGTTTGTAGGGCTGTTTTTGCTACTATCTGCCCTTCTTGGATGGTGTATCTCAGCTCCTCCCTAGAGTCCTGCCAGACCCTTGATAGGAAGGGGAGTCGCTCTGTCCCACATCAGAAAACTGTATTTTGCAAACAGTGCCAAGTAGTTCAGGATGCAGAATTGGAGGGAGGCTGACAAGTAAGTCTTTCAGCCAAAGAAGTCAGTTTCTTGGGGTCCTTATTCTTTTGGCGTCCCCTTGGTGGACCTGAACTCTTCCTGGACCACAGATACCCCAAACAACCATAGTGTCAGATGCATATAAAATGTTCAAAGCCCTGAGCTGGGACTTGACAGAACTTTTCTATTGGTTTGAAAGTAGGGCAAAATAAGGTTGGGGTGTGCCACAGTTCATTTGCTGAGTCCAATATTTTCCCACTGATTGGAAGAGCAATTCTTGTCAGCACTGCGAAGCTGAGGATATCAAACAATTTGTGTGTGTTCTCTTGGATCACTTCTGCCTCTCTATCAAAGCTTTCAGCTGTTCTTGGAAGTCCCTAAAGTAATTGATGACTGATGTTGGGGCTGAGGTGACAGTCTCAACTGGAGAAGAGGAGGATTCCTTAGGTGGGGAGGACACTTGCAGTGTTTCTCAAGCAATCTTTGCTGCTTCATAAAGAAGGTCCTCAGTTCCAGTGAAGAGGGGCTGGCTTTTGATGTCAACAATGATCAAGACCTCTCCTTTTTGCTGAAACATGTGATGGGACTCCACTCTGGGAAACTGGGGCACCAATTGGGCCACTACAGCCATTGTGGTAAATTGTATAGGTAATGGCCAGACTGCAGGTGGCCCATCCACTGACAGTAATGTACTAGTACCCAGTACGGGGTGCTTTTGGAGCTACCGTTTCAGTCTACCAGGAGAGGGTTCCTGGCTCAAAACCAGGGAGAAGGAATGGCTTGGAGACAGCAAGGAGAAGTACATCTCTGGGAATGGTGGTGCCATTGGATACATGTCTGGTGCTGATGGTGCTGAGTCCAATGCTGAGAGGAGGGGTGAAGGTGGTTCCTTGAAGGTACAGCTCTGTAGTAGGATGGGCTCTTTCGTCAGTGCCAGTGTTAGTACTAGGGTAGATTTCTGTGTCAATGTCAGTATAGTCTCTCATGCCTTTGTTCATTGTCAGTGCCTTGCTCCTATCCTTCAATAGTGAAGGAGTGGTGTTTTGGGTCCTCCTTATGGGATGGGCATGTTGTCCAGTCTGAGCTTGCACTCAATGCAGGTGTGTTGCTTGGCATCTGAATTGAATGGTGCAGATGCATTTGGTGCCAACGTCATCAGTGCTGATCGGATTAACACCAAGGATTCCTGGTGCCAGTGTCAGTGGTCTTGGCACCTTTTTAGACTACTTCTTCCCACTGGAACTGGTGGTATGGTACTTGGATTCTGGGGCAATTGCTGATATTAGTCTCAACTCCAGTTTGGAGGATTTCTCTCTCTTTGGGATCAGATGCGAACTTCATGGATTGTTGTTACACACACTGGGGGTGTAGGTGGTGTGACCTAGTTGATGGAACAGGAGTTATGCCTACTGGTCAGAGCAGAGCTGGAAAGAAGAACCAGAGTTGGGGTCAGGAGACAAGCCACTGGTTGGAGCCAGGAATCAGATGTCAGTACAGAACCAGAGTTGTGCTCAGAACCAGGAGTCAGGATGTGCAGAGCAAGGTAGAGACCAGAGCTGGAGCAGGAACAGGTGCAGGTTGGAGCAAAGATCAGTACAGGAAGCAAGTCTGGCACAGGTATGGTGTAGAACTTATTGAGCAGCTGCTGTTGTTACAAGGCTTAAATGATTATTTGCTGGCTCTTCTGTCCAATCAGGGAGCACAGTCACTTAGCTTGAGTTTATTGGGCTCAGTCAAGCTCATTGAGTTGCCAGGCAACTGCGCCCAGAGCCAGCTGAGTTCCTGACAATTGCTCCGAGATGTAATTTGAGACTCCCATATCTCAATTTTCAGGTTCAGGTTGAGACTAAGCAGTGGATGGAACACTTGTCAGGGATGTGTCCTTCCCAGAGGCAGGAAAGACATCTGCACTGCACATTGATAAGGGCATAAGACCATTGCATGAGGGTTAGAGTCCACTATTGCCAGCAGCTGATATGAAGTTGCTCACCCTGCAGTAGAGCAGTCTGGTGGGGGTGTCTCCCCCATCTTTTATATATATACATGTATAGGAACAGCCAAGAAAAAAGAATAATGAACAAATTAATGAGAAGGTGAAGAAAGGTTCTTCACAAAAAATTTGAGTCTGAAGCTCAAAAACAGTAATGGGTTGGACACAGTCCAGGTTCAGTTTTACTGTCATGGGCAATAAGCAGGGCCGGCTCTAGGCACCAGCGTTCCAAGCCTTTTCAAGGGGCAGCATTCCGGTCTTTTTTTTTTTTTTTTTTTTGGTGGCGGCACTCCGGCTTTTTTTTTTTTGCTTGGGGCGGCAAAAAACCTGGAGCTGGCCCTGGAAATAAGAGGGAACAGAAGGAGAATAGCAGCTGCTCCACCCTTTATGCCTTTACATGAGAGCATGAGGTAGCACAGGGCACATGTTCAGCCCTGAAAACACGAGGATCATGCACACCTACAGTGGGAGCCACACTGACACATACTTGAAGATTATTTTTCAGAGAACAGAATATACCATTTACAAGTTACTTGGTTTGGCAAATTCTATGTATTTTGTTCTGTCTCTCATCCTTTTCTGGAATATCCCCTACTCCATAATCTTCCTCCTGGTTGTTTGAAGAAACTGATAGGCTGCCAAGGGACCCTGAGAGAGGGAAACTTCTATTCCTCCACCTGGATGCTATTTTAACCTAACTTCCTAAACAGATAGTGTAATTAATCTAATACATATGAAAACATAACTCTGCTTAAGTGACAGTAATGCAGTAGCCTTATTGTACAAGTTTACAAATTCATTTTTTAAACAATGCCCTGATAAATACAAATGTTTATATTTATCATTTTACACTATTCTAGTCTACTTGATCAAAAATAAGTTACACCATGAGCAGTAAATACAGGAAAATTTATTTGAATTAACCTTTTAGTTACAAAAACAGAGTTTTATTAGAAGTTACAAACTACAGAAACTTGTTTTTTATGACTATATTTCACACAAACAGTTTTAACACAAAATTAGATGTTTGTTTTACTATTCTAAATGGTAACAGGTTTACTAAAATCTTAAGGTCTATGAATTTATTGTTTAAACATTTATTTCTGTACATCAACAGCACCTTACTGAACAAGGCTGCAGTAACCAGATTAAATGCACCTGGAATATATTATCAAAGCAAACATTCATCCGATTAGCTAAAATCCTGCATACTAATATAAGACAATATATCATGTCAGCTTTAGTTTTATCATGCTTCAATTTCCAAAAGTCAAAATACTCAGAAACTTTATTATGAACCACATAAAGAGCATTCTGTTTATATTTAATGTATACATTTATTATTAACTGCAGCTAATTTTGATGGAAAGCGGCTATGGTATAAAATAACAATATGGCTCTCTTAAAGCTATCATTTTAAATATATTTTAAAAATATTAATATCTCAAAAGGTCCAAAAGAGACCTGTACCCTTCTGCTACGTCTTAAATAAATTATTTTGTATTCACTTTAAAATGAGAGCTACACAGTACAGCTAGCCAAGCATGATAAGTGCTTACCACATTTCAAACTTTTTTCTTTTTCTTTGCACAACAGGTTCTAGTTTTCTGATAGGAGTGTACAGATGTATCATTAAGACATCCTTATTATAGTTTTCATTTTTTTAAAAAATGACTTGTTAAATGTTTGTTTTCTTCACTTAAATAGAGAGCTGTCATGAAGTGAAGAAAGCTTTAGTCCAGGTGAGCTGAAATTACTGCACTACTTTACCTTTAACACATTTCTACAAACCTATCTTACAATAAAGGCGCATCCTTGAAACTTCCTACATTTTAAAACTATGCTAACATACAGGTAAAGCCATGTGTTCTGTTAGCATTTACTAAATTGTTATTGGAATGCAGTTTGTTCATTAACATAATGGTAAAAAAATTGTATAGGACACAGAAAATTGTTGTCTTAATGAAACCTATTTTGGTAAATGCATTTTAGAATACCTTAAATACAAAAAAAATCACATTAAAATGGCAAATTAAATTGTTTTATGATGAAACTGAATTGTTTGCTAGTTCTCAAGAAAGATTAATATTTTGTGTTAATGCTACTTCTAACCTTTCAAAACAGGTATTTACTATCCAAATAGAGGAAAATCTACTTTATTTAACATTATGACATTCCTTGATCTAATGCATAAAAAATGTTTGGGAGCGATGATGATCATTGATATCAGTTCAGATGTAATTTTTCTGTCAGTCAAAATTTCTGGTAAATATGATTTTCCAGTGTTCCCTACAGCAAATGTTCACACTAGCATTTTGCCACATAACTATCTAGAATACAAAATTCAGTCAGTATCAGTTGTTAGTAGTGCTTTGAAAGCTAGCTTTCTAGCATAATGAAAATACAAACTGGGTGGCTAAGTCAGAAAGTTAATTTGGCTTCAACATCAAAGGTTGTCAGTGGATAAGGATACTGAAGAGGAGGAAAATTTGTCATATTTGATTATCTTGACAAAGAATAGTATTGGTATAGGCACTGATCCTGCAATCTGATTTGGGTAGGCCTCCTCCCATGCACATGTGTAGAGCTTCATAGGTGTCAATGGAGCTCTTCAATTTAAAAAAACGACAGTTAATACTATAGTTAAAAGCTTGCTCTTTAGATGAGATGCTGCATCTGCCTTTGTAGCACTGGGAACGTGTTACATTATTTATAAAATAAATGCATAGTCACTCAGATTGAGTATGAGAGAGATTTTTCAAAATGGATATTGTGCCATCTTTTATTTTTGCACTACTAATAAAATTATCAGACTAACATTTGTTATTTCACAGATTATTTTCCCCCTTATGTTTCTGAAGAAAATAAAACCAAAAGTCAATATTTATAATCTAAAATCTGTTCCTATAAATGGAAATAATAAATGTGTGAATATCTGGGCTTTTTAGATACCCTTTACCTGATATACATATCAACAACTGCATAATATTTGTTCACCTTTGAGAAATTAGATCAAAAGACTTCAGATGTAAACCAAAATTGCTGAACACATTACTGCATAACAAATTTACTTCTTGGACCTCTATAATTTAAAAAATAAAGAACAAAGAACAAACTAAAACTGTGAACTCTAAACATGAGTCAAATTGATATGTATATTGTTTCATGATATTAGAAATAAGGCTGTGATAACAGAACACAAGACCTTTCCTGGCTACCTTTGCTTACAAAAACCGTATTTACAACTGAGCAAATGCTTCCACATAGATGAAGCAGTTTTAGGATGTGCCAAAATGTCTATAACATATCTATTCAGATAAATTCTAAAACCTAAACCAAATATAAAGACAACCGGGCAGATGCTCAGCTGGCGTAGATTGTCTCAATGGAGCTATGACAATTTAAACCAGCTGAAGATCTGCCCCAAAACAATGAGCTGATATCCTCAAGAACCCAAGTTATATTTACATTTTGACATAAACTGTTAAAAATGACAGTTGTTGGGTCATCACAAACGTTTTTTACAAGAGGTATAAATCATATTTATGTGTGATCTTGTTTCTGTTCAACAATGGTGCAAAACTGCTTTAGTCTTGGAGTGTTACTAAAACAGTAAATAAAATTATATACTATGGGATTGACTCTCCTCTCTCAGCAATGTCAATCAACTGGAGTTAAACCAGTGTAAGAAAGAGACGAATAAGGCCCAGCACAATATAAAAGAAAACCACTGATTGCTAGAGTGGATTTTAAATAAGACTGAATACTATCTGTGTATGTATCTACTACTGCTATATATAATGCCCACTCTGCAAGACCTTCACCTGATATAAAACTAAAACAGAATATTGCAAATGCAGTTGGAAAGTCACTATCAAGCAGTTCAAAAATTTAAAAAAGAGTTTAAAACATTTTACATATATAAGAAAGGTAGAGATAAAGACTTTCAGACTACATAAACAATAAGCCATGGCTTGCACTCATATTAAATACAGTAGTCATGTTTTAATCTATCAGGAATTTAAAATGTAATAATATAGATGGAAGGAAGGCAAAGGGGGAAAAGAAGGAATAAATTATTAAGTCCTTGCAGCTGAGGAGAAAATTGTTTTCCATCTCAACACATGATATAGTCAGTCAATGAGTTTTTAATCCTGCATAGACTGTAGAAAAATATTAATACTTAAATGCTAGGTGCAGGTTTTCAGTTGTCTTAAAATATAAAGTATTAAGTAAATTCTTGCTCATTTTCTATAGCTAAAAATCATATAAACATGAATGTATTGTTTACTGTATTTAAGAACAGTGTCAGCCTCAGATAAAGGTATAGAATTATAAACAAATGGTCCAAATTATATTCTTAAAAATTCTTATCACAAAGTAACTAAAATTACACCTATGCAAGAATTCTTATCTGATTTGATTTCAACAACAACAAAATAAAGTTACACAAACTATACATGACGTGAAAAAATACAATTATGTTTAAATAACAATATGTAAAATAAAATAATTGGTATCCAAATCAAGTATATGCTGTCAGTCTACAAGAAAATGGCTCAAATGTTGAAAATGTCTGTTGTTGTAATGTATCTGATACAAAAATGAATTTTAGATTTTTCCTGTAATACAAATATGCTGTTTTCAAACTACTTTAATAAATAGTGCATATACAATAGTCTGTATATCACAAATACAAGTCTGTCACCTAAATGTGCATTAATTGATAAAGGAAACCATGATTTTATCCTGCATATCCTGTGTTTGCTGACATGAACTGCAAGATTTCTTTTTATTCCTTTTACAAAAAAAAAGGCCATTTTAATTTAGGCATACTCAGTAAATGCTGAGAGTTACTAAATTATATACCCTCCATGTGCTAGACATATTAGCATAGTAGACATCTAAGAGTCTATTTAACAGAGTCTGTAGAGGAAGGTGGAGTGAGAATTGTATCTTCCATTCTGTAGTCTTTTCTAGGATGAAAGTGAGGGCTTCGTGTATATCGAGGTTTCAAACTCACAGATGAAGGATGTGAAAAATTTCTTCTCACAGAATGTAACCTTGGTTCCTAAAAAGAGAAAAATACTGTTGTCTTTTCTCTGTATATTTAAAAACGGTGTTTTGTTTATTATACTAAACATGTAGTGGGAACGATCCAATTTAAGATATGTATGTACCACCTGTCTGAACAATGGTGAGCATCTCTAATTTGGAGGATAAGGACCTTAGGTAGCTGCAAGACTTACACATGTGGATAGTCCCATTGGAGTCAATGGTACATGCAATGGGACTACTCACATGCTTAAAGTTAAACACATGCATACGTCTTTGCAGGATCAGGGCTTTAATGTATTTGAATTGTTTCTTTAACAAGCAGAGACAATAGAGGAAAAATACTTCGTAAATCTCCTATTTTTCGCTCTTATAGCATAATTTCATGGTTCAAATACTGTTCTTATAATGTATGTAACTACTGATCCCTCAGCCTCTTGCAGGGCTCCCTCAAATCACTTAGGTCTCACAAACTATGAATGCAGAATTTCAACGGATACCAAATGTGAGTTCCATGTGCATTTGTAGATACAAGGCTAGATCTTCAACTGGTATAAATCATCATAGCTTCATTGACTTCCATGGAGTGACATGATTTACACCAGCTGAAGGTATGTCCCACAACTTGGCCTAAGTATCCTTACCACATCACACTGACACTATCTGTTTAAAAATAAAATGAATACATTTAAATGTATTCACATCTAACAGTTTTCATGCCAAACCACTTTACAAACAAACTCACAAGGATCTCAACTGCAGTGCAACTGTAACAGCATGCAGCAAGACTGAACAACAGTTTAGGATAGGTAGTGAAAAATACCATATTCAATTGAAACTGTAAGGGGAAATGTAAGTAAGCACAATATTATCATCTAAATTGGAATTTTAGCCACAATACTAGGATTTACACATCCATACTTGTGTTCAGTGCCATGGGATACTTAATGACCAAAAGTATTCAGTACTTTGATTTACAGCTCTTCCAAACCCTAAAATGTCTACCAGCATAGCTTTGTCCTTTGCCCCTGCCCCCCCAGCCCAGTGTGCTGGGGTATTGTAATTCAGAGGACTGACTCAGAGGGAAGAGTTGCACCCACACCCTTCCTGCAGCACCCACGTGTTCTTGGAGGTCTCTCACCCAACCGTGACTCAACATGACAATACTTAGCTTTCAGCTCATAATAGATTAAACCAGGGGTTCTCAAACTGGGGGTTGGGACCCACAGGGGGTCGTGAGGTTATTACATGGTGGGTCGCGAGCTGTCAACCTCCACCCCAAGCCCCACTTTGCCTCCAGCATTTATAATGGTGTTAAATATATAAAAAAGTATTTTTAATTTGTAAGGGGGGGGTCACACTCAGCGGCTTGCTATGTGAAAGGAGTCACCAGTAAAAAAGTTTGAGAGCCACTGAATTAAACATTGGGGGCAAAGCTGATATTAGTGGCACTGCACTGTGTAATTAAGAATAGAATTTGCACTCTTATTTTTATATTTCTATTATACTTGTATGGTGTAATATTTTACTACTTGATCAAGTATGACAGTGGTCTCCAAACTTTTTTGATCGCGCACCCCATCAGTAAAAAATTTTTGAGCACGCACTCCCTGCTCCCAGACGAACTGCTGAGGGGGGGAGGGGAAAGCCGCTCGGACTCCCAGCCAAACTCCTGAAAGGGGAAAAAAAAAAAGCAGCGCTGCTCCGGCAGCGCTCCTCCTGCCGCACACCCCGAAGGATCCTCTTGCGCGCACCCCACTTTGGAGACCACTAAAGTATGATACAACAAGCATATAGTAATAATAAAAACATATTAGGGCTGTCAAGTGATAAAAAAGTTAATCACGATTAACTGTGTGATTAATTGCACTGTTAAACAATAATAGAATATCATTTATTTAAATATTTGTGGATGTTTTCTACATTTTCAAATATATTGATTTCAGTTACAACACAGAATACAAAGTCAACAGTGGTCACTTTTTATTTATTTTTGATTACAAGTATTTGCACTGTAAACAACAAAAGAAATATTATTTTTCAATTCACCTCATACAAGTACTGTAGTGCAATCTCTATCATGAAAGTTGAACTTACAAATGTAGAATTATGTACAAAAATAACTGCATTCAAAAATAAAACAACATAAAATTTTAGAGCCTGCAAGTCCACTCAGTCCTACTTCTTGTTCAGCCAATCGCTCAGACAAACAAGTTTGGTTTGCAGGAGATAATGCTGCCCTCTTATTTACCATGTCACCAGAAAGTGAGAACAGGCGTTCTCATCTCACTGTTGTAGCTGGAATCGCAAGATATTACGTGCCAGATGTGCTAAAGATTCATCTGTCCCTTCATGCTTCAACCACCATTCCAAAGGACATGCGTTCATGCTGATGATGGGTTCTGCTCGATAACAATACAAAGCAGTGCGGACCAATGCATATTCATTTTCATTATCTGAGTCAGATGCCACCAGCAGGTTGATTTTCTTTTTTGGTGGTTCGGGTTCTGTAGTTTCCGCATCGGAGTGTTGCTCTTTTGAGACTTCTGAAAGCATGCTCCACACCTCGTCCCTCTCAGATTTTGGAAGGCACTTCAGATTTTTAACCCTTGGATGGAGTGCTGTTACGATCTTTAGAAATCTCACATTGGTACCTTCTTTGTGTTTTGTGAAATCTGCAGTGAGTGTTCTTAAAATGAACAATATATGCCGGGTCATCATCCGAGACTGCTATAATATGAAATATATGGCAGAATGCGGGTAAAACAGAGCAGGGACCATACAATTCTCCCCCAAGGAGTTCAGTCACAAATTTAATTAACGCATTATTTTTTTAACGAGCATCATCAGCATGGAAGTATGTCCTCTGGAATGGTGGCTGAAGCATGAAGGGGCATATGAATGTTTAGCGTATCTGGCACATAAATATCTTGTGATGCCTGCTACAACAGTGCCATGCAAATGCCTGTTCTCACTTTCTGGTGACACTGTAAATAAGAAGAGGGCAGCATTATCTCCTGTAAATGTAAATAAACTTGTTTGTCTTTAGTGATTGCCTGAACTAGAAGTAGGACTTAGTGGACTTGTAGGCTCTGAAGTTTTAAATTGTTTTGTTTTTAAGTGCAGTTATGTAACAAAAAAAAAATCTACATTTGAAAGTTGCACTTTCACGACAAAGACTGCACTACAATACTTGTATGAGGTGAACTGAAAAATACTATTTCTTTTATCATTTTTACAGTGCAGATATTTGTAATAAAAATAATATACACTTTGATTTCAGTTACAACACAGAAATCAATATATATGAAAATGTAGAAAAACATCCAAATATTTAATACATTTCAATTGGTATTCTATTAACAGTGCGATTAAAACTGCGGTTAATTTTTTTGAGTTAATTGCATAAGTTAACAGCGATTAATCGACAGCCCTAAAACATATATTTTTGCTGCTGTAGTGCTTCCATAGCTCTCAAAGTACTTTACAAGCCTGGCTGATCATTAGCCCCATTTGACCTACAGAATAACCAAAGCACAGAGTCATATATGAACGGCCATACTGTGTCAGACCAATGGTTCATCTGTACCAGTATTCTATGTTCTGACAGTGGCCAGTGCCAGATGCTTCAGAGGAAATGAACAGAACAGGACAATGTTGAGTGATCCATCTTCTGTCATCCAGTCCCAGCTTCTGGCAGTTGAAGGTTTAGAGATACCCGGAGCATGGGGTTGCATCCCTGACCGTTCTGGCTAATAGTCATTGGTGGACCTATCCTCCTTGAACTTATCTAATTCTCTTTTGAGCTTGGTTATACTTCTGGCCTTCACAACATCCCATGGCAACAAGTTCCACAGCTTGTGCATTGTGTGAAGAGGTACTTCCTTTTTGTTTTAAATTTGCTGCCTGTTAATTTCATTGGGTGACTCCTAGTTCTTGTATTATGTGAAGGGATAAATAACACTTCCTTATTCACTTTCTCCATACCATTCACAATTGTATAGATCTCTAACATATCCCTTCTTCATTGTCTCTTTTCTAAAATGAACAGTCCCAGTCTTTTTAATCTCTCCTTGTATGGAAGCTGTTCTGTACTCTTAATTATTTTTGTTGCCTTTTTTATGTACCTTTTCCAATTCTAATGCATCTTTTTTGAGATGGGCAACCAGAACTCCATGCAGTATTTAAGGTGTGGGCATGGGTTTATACAGTGGCACTATATTTTTCTGTTTTATTATCTACACCTTTCGTAATGGTTCCTAGCATTCTGCTAACTTTTTTGAGTGCCACTAAACACTGAGCAGATGTTTTCAGAGAACTATCTATGAGGACTACAAGATCGCTTTCTTGTGTGGTAACAGTTAAGTTACACCCTATCAGTTTGTATGTATAGTTGGGATTATGTTTTCCAGTGTGCATTACTCTGCACTTATCAACATTGAATTTCATCTGCCATTTTGTTACCCAGTCACCCAGCTTTGTGAAATCCCTTTGTAACAGTTAGCTTTGGACTTAACTATTTTGAGTAATTTTGTATTGTCTACAAATTTTGCCACTTCACTGTTGACCCCCTTTTCCAGATCATTTATGAGTATGTTGAACAGTGCAGGTCCCAGTATAGATCCTTGGGAACCCTGCGATTTACCACTTTCCATTGTGAAAACTGACTATTTATTCCTACCCTTTGTTTCCTATCTTTCAACCAGCTACTGATCCATGAAGGACCTTCCCTCTTATCCCATGATTGCTTACTTTACTTAAGAGTCTTGGTAAGGGACCTTGTCAAAGACTTCTGAATGTCCAAATACACTATATCAACTGGATCACCCTTGTCAGCATGCTTCAAAGACTTCAAACACCCTAAAAGAATTCTAGTAGATTGGTAAGGCGGCATGACTCTTCCGCAACATATCACATTTATCTATGTATCTGATAAATCTGTTCTTTACTATAGTTTCAAACAATCTGCCTGGGGTACTGAATTACTTCAGTAATTACTTCAGGTTTACCGCCTGT